TGGCAATAAAGCTCTTTCTGATTCTGATTCTGATTCTGAAACATCAGCAACCAGTTCTCCTCACCACTCAACAACTGCCAACCTCCACCCACACACATTCCACTCTTCTCTTCCTTTTTTCCACTAGTGGATAACAAGGTCTCCAAATTTCTCTGTGCCAGCCATTCTACAACCTGCCTCTTAGTCCCAATCCCCTTCTACCTACAACAGCAGATCTCATCAATGCTACAACAATCAATCATCAACAACATTACTACTGACAATTTACCCACTGCATTTATGCAGGCTCAGACAACCTTACGGTTTAAAAAACCAACACTCAATGTTGTCTTATCTTGAAAATCTGTTGAAAGAGTTTTGAAAGAGCTTTTCTCTCACAGAACAACCAACTTGACAATAACCAGTCCGATTTCAAAAGCAGACAGTCCATGGAGACTGCCTTGCTGCCTGTTGCTAAAACACTTTGGCTAGCAAAATCAAACTCCAAATCATCTGTCCTGATTCTACTGGACCAGTCTGCTCCCTTTGACACTGTGATCCTCCTTTGACCATCGGCTCCCCCTGTCAATCCTTTCTGACTTTGACATCACAGGTGTTTTGTGGCTTCAGTCATAACTCACATGCATATATTTAAAGGTTTCACAGAGAGGAGGGGTGTCTGAATCACATCAACTAATCACAGGGGTGCCTCAAGGTTCAATGCTCACTCCTCTTCTTTTCTCCATTTACACAACCTCACTGGGCATGATTATAAAGACACATAGCTTCTTCTACAATTGCTATGCAGATGATATACAGCTATATCTGTTGTTTCAACCTGATGACCCCACTGCTTCAGTTCATGTCAGGATCTGCCATTCAAACATCTCAACTTGGATGATGAAGTGCCATCTCTAGCTCAGTCTTGTGAAAACAGTGCTTCTTGTAATCCCTGCAAACCACAACATCACTGTTCAACTATGGGTCTACAACATTAATGTCAAACAGGAAAACAAAGAACCTGGGGTTGTGTTTAAAGACTAACTACTTTTACATTTCGACAATGGCTCCATCTTGTAGGTTTGTGCTTTACAAGATCAGGAAAATCAGACCCTTCCTGACAGAATATGCAGCAAAGCTCCTTGGTTAAGCTCTCATGATTTCAACACTGGACAACTACAGTGCTCTATTGGTGGGCCTTCCAATCAGCGCGACTAGGCCAATGCAGATGATCCAGAATGCAGTAGCACATCTGGCCTCCACTCCTCCTGATGTCACTCCACTGGCTCCCAGCTGTGGCCAGAATCATTTTAAGGCTTTGACAGTAGCTTTCAGGACTGCCATTGGAACTGTACCTTCTTATCTCAATTCACAAGTGTATGCTCTCTCTCACCAGCTACAGTCACTGAACAAGCAGCACCTTGTTCTTTCACAAAGAGGCACAATGTCACTTTCCAAAACTTTCACCTTCTCTGCTTCTCTCTGGTGGAATGAGCTGCCAACCTATACCCGAACTGCTGAAACCACAACTTTTTAAAAAGCAGCTAAAGTCACAGCTTTTCAATCAGAATTGAATGATTCTGCAATCCTAAACCAATGCAATGCAACGCAAAAAAAAACCGCTTCTTTGCATTTCTCCTCTCCTACAAATAACTGTCATTTAAAGTGCACAGCTGGAGTGCTGTCACCAGAAGCGCAGAATGTGGCCGAACAGGGACAGAGAGGACAAAGTCAAATATATATCTGCAGTCTGACACTGCTCTCCAAATTAGTCTGTCCTACGGGAGACAGGAGAATGTACAATCTGATTCAACATGAGAGGCCCATCATGCACCATGGGGACATACCCTGTTATAACCACAATATTATGGTTGTGTGAATTTTATATATATATATATATATATATTTATATATTTATATATTTATATATATATAAATAAATATATATATTTATATATATATTTATTAACCCCCACCACTAACTGCAAACTGGCATCTTAGATCTGCCTCCATTTTGTTGGCAACGCCCCAACTTCCAACGATCCAATCAATTCCCAAAGGACAAAATCAAGTCCCGCTCTCTCATTTCAGATGCCGTTTCACTCAGATATACGTCAGAGTTAGAGAAAAAAAGACAATCGCAACTTCCGTTTCATGCCGACTTTAATGACAGAATTTTAATTTTTGGGTGAACTATCCCTTTAAACTAGCTGAGTGACCAGTTAATTTAAGATTTTCTTGCCAACCCTGCTACACATTCTGGCAAAAGCTTATAAATTTTGTATGTAGTGTTGTTTACTGCTAGAAAATTAAGTCATAAGAATCACTGTTTTACTTAAAGATTTAAATGGTATTCAGATGTCTGTCATTTTAGTAACAGCATTGCAAATTGCAAACCATAGAGAAAATTAAAAGAAAATAGCTCATATCATATTTGATTTTTTTTTAGATAAAACAGAAGCTGAAGGAATGGGGTATAGAAAAGGAAACAAAAGTGACATGGAGAGTTCAGGCAAATGGATATGTGTTTTCACGAGTTACACATTTTTAAGGTAATTTATCACATTATTAGAATTTGCAAGAAATAAGTTGAATGTTCTTCTCTGTAATGGATTTAAACACGATTACACTCTCCTTATGTACACTTAGTATCAGCGGCAGCAGTGGTGGTCCTGGCTCACTTTGACTCCAGCTGTGTGCTCAAAAGTGTCAACACTGTGGCAGGACATATAAAAGGAGTAATTCTGTGCATGTAAAATGTGTTCATATGATTGATATATTGTAAACAGTTAAATGCAACTTTTATTTTAATAATTTAATTTGAGGTTTATTTTAGCACAGCTGTGATTTCATAGTAGACCCCTGTAGTAGGGGGTGTAATTCTGTTTCTTAGTAAAAAAAAAAAAAATCACTTTTTTTTTTTTTTTATTATTCTTTTATTGTAAAATGACTAGTAGTGTTGTGAAAGATAATTTTCTTTATACCATTCCATAAATAAAACACTTACAGCAATCTTAATACCAAGTCCTTTTGTACACATGCAGACCTAAATTGGGCAAATTCAGAATTTAGGAATTGGCCTCTCTTCAATTAATGAGTGTGAATTAGAGCTGAACTGACCGCAACACACAGGATGTTGAATTGTATAATATTCTGGAAAATGAAGTGTTCTCTTAAAAGTAAAAGAAATATGAAGAAATTAATTACACACACAGGTCTTCATATAAAACAATGCACTGTAAGTTCACTTTCATGGGAACTTCGAACTGCGTCCTCTAGGGGTCGCTATGGGAAACGCCTCGTCGTGACCCGTGTCTGAAGCATACATTGAAAAAACACCAACAACACGGTGGCCGGCGACAGCCATGACGTCACTTCCGGTGCGACTATAGTATAAATAGGCGCCGGGAGAACACATCATCCTCTTCTTCGTCTTCATTGACTGTTTTGTTTGAAGCGTGCATTTCTGAAAAATGGTAAGAGCGATCTCTATTCATATCATTATGGCGAGCACTAGCAAGCGTTTAAGAGGATGTGTGCATCCGTGTTGTCGTTGTTTAACATCCAATGACACACACGATCTATGCGTTATTTGTTTGGGCGAAGAGCA